TGGATAGATGATAGATGGATAGATATATGGATAGATGATAGATGGATAGATATATGGATAGATGATAGATGGATAGATATATGGATAGATGATATATGGATAGATATATGGATAGATAGATAGGTATAGATAGATGATGGATGGATAGGTAGATATATAGATAGATGATAGATGGATGGATAGATAGATGATAGATAGATGGGTAGATAGATAGATGATGGATGGATAGATAGATAGATAGATAGATAGATAGATAGATAGATAGATAGATGATAGATGGACTAGAACAGAGCCAGTGTTTACGAAGCACTGACCCATGTAATTTGTCTTGTGGTGGACGGTAGAGGGCTCTGGTGTTGAACCCAGACTGGGCCTGGTTTCCAGTCCCGTTTCTGTGGATAATGACGTCTCTCAAGATGATTGGCAGGGGGAGGCTGGTGTCCCCTGTTGCTACCCCTCAGAGAGTTGGTGTCAGATGGGACGTGCCCCTGCCAATTAGGAGCCACTGGGATGAATCTCCAAGGAGAGAAGACCCTGGGCCAGGCTGGGGCCTGGTCTTTGCAAGGATGGGTGGGGGGATGGGTGTGGGGATGGGTGAAGCGCTGGCTCATCTTGCTGCAGAGCAGAAGGGGGCACCGCGTGCACTGCATTCTGGGTGGTCTGTGCACAGCTGCTCTCGGGGTTGCCATACGGTGGCCCTGTCAGAACCTGGTCAGCCAGTGACCTTGGGAGTGTGCTGATGAGGAGGTGGAGGGGAGTCCGCTCCCAGGCCTCAAGGCAGCTCACTGTCTTACCCGACCTTCGTCAAAGGTTGGCCTCGTTCATCTACTAGAGCTTTCTGTAAACGGGGACACTAGCAGACCAGGACCTTAGAATGCTAAAAACAACAAAATTGTCTGTTCATGGTTAAAACATTACAGTTCAATCCACTGGACCTCTGGCTGGGTACATTATGCGTGCTCTCTCGTTTCCGTCTCCCCACGACCCCCATGAGCTGGGACTCTTTTAGTTCCCAATTTTCAGGCAAGGGACTGCAGAACTGACAACATGAAAAGCTGTCACTTACCAAGCGCCCACCCAGCACTGTGCCGAATACGTTCCTCACAAGGTTGCTATGAGGAGTAGACAATGTGGGTAAAAGGGCTGCTCTCCCCATTTCTCAGATGGGAACACTGAGGTGCGGAGAGCTCCAACCACTCATCCAAAGCCTCGGAGGGAGCGAGTAGCAGAGCTGGGATGCAAACCAGAGGCTTTTCGGGCTCCAAGTGCCTTTCTCCTTCCGCAAAGGGCTGCTTCTGCTTGAAGAACGCGGGGGACCCCTTGTGGCAAAATTGCGCCTCGTCTGAAACCAGTTCCCACAGAAGGGGGAATGGTGGGCTGGCAAGGGGAGGGGTGGGGAGGCTGGCAGGAGAGATGTTTTCCCCCTTTGTGGCAAGAGAAAGGGAGACTCCCCTGAAAGCAACTGAATTATTTCGTCTCAGCTGTGGTAAGAGGGTGAAAAATGAAAACCAACCCAAATGTGCAACAACAAGAGATTGCTTCAGTCAATCCATTTATATAACGCCCTGCAAGAGGCCGCTTAAGCTGGTGTCACAGGACAGTGAGTAATTTGGAAAGAAAATGTTCAAAAGCTTCGTGGAAAAGCAGGCTGGAAGCAATCATGTCCGACCACTCCGTCTTCTAAAAAAATAATCTGCATCTTACATCCTCTCGGCCATGCAGTAAATCAGCGGTGCCTGCTGATACCCGGATGGTAAGATTGATTATAGGCGCTTTTTAAATATCCTTTCTTCCTACTGGTAGTCTCCAAATTTGATACACCTAACCGCCTTATTTTTCCTCTGGATAAAAACACTGTCCTATTAAGAAGATTAAAACTTCTTTTTATCATTCTAGGAGAGAAGAAAGTCCTCGCCCTTTGAGGTCTCAGTCTACCCACCTATACACGACCTTCAAATGACCCAATGGTGTCCCATTACTAGACACACTGCTCATGTTTTGGGATGTTCTCAAAGTTGGGGTGCACCCAAAGAGCTCTTCTAGTGGGGGTGAGAAGGTTATATCCACCGTTCATTTCCACCCCTTCCCTGTCCCACAACCCCCTGGGGAAGGCAGGATGCCTGATTCTACCCATTTGACAGAAGGGCAAGTCACTGGCATGTGCACTTCCGGTTCTCCAAACTCCATTCATGAGTTGCAGCTAAAATTCTCCAAAGTGGGGGACCCTGCAGCCCCTGCTGGGCATGGTCTGAGCACCCCCTGCCAGGAGTTTCAGTCAATCCTCTGATCCAGGTCACTGGCTGCCCACATGACAAGGATTTCACTCATGGACACAGCATGCCTCAGTGTTGCTTTCTGTCAAATGGGGCAACAACTTGCATCTTGAACCCTTCCTACCATGAGTTGGACGGGACTGGCAAAAACTGAACTGGCTGGGCCCTGGCTGGGTAACTCGGTTGGAGCGTCGTCCCAGTGCGCCAACGTTGCAGGTCAATCCCTGGTCAGGGAACATGCAAGAAGCAACCAAATGAATGCATAAGGGGGTGGAACAGCAAACTGATCTATCTATCTATCTATCTATCTATCTGTCAAATCAATATATTTTTTTAAGAATTGAACTCTAGCCAGAACCGGTTTGGCTCAGTGGATAGAGCGTCGGCCTGCGGACTCAAGGGTCCCGGGTTCGATTCCGGTCAAGGGCATGTACCTTGGTTGCTGGCACATCCCCAGTGGGGGGCGTGCAGGAGGCAGCTGATCAATGTTTCTCTCTCATTGATGTTTCTGGCTCTCTATCCCTCTCTCTTCCTCTCTGTAAAAAATCAATAAAATACATTTAAAAAAAGAAAAAAAGAATTGAACTCTATGTGGCCAACAAGGACCAGTCCTTCCCCTAAGCCTGTCCTTACAGGTGGGGGTGGGGGTGAAGGATGAGGTTGGGTGAAATCTGGAGAAGGGGTGGGACATTTGAGAGCACCTAGAAGGAACACTTTTAGAGAAGCATGCCTTTAGAATACCCCCAGGAAAGGTGTCACGCCCTCTGCCTGGCACTTGGTAGGTGCCCTGCAGGTATTTACAGAAATCCAGCTGCCTCACGCTCCATCAGCCACATCCTCAGGCTCGGCCTGTCCATGCCTCTAGCCAGCGAGTCCCCCCAGCTCTGGCATCTTCCTCTGTCCGGAAGGATCAGCCTTCCCAGATCGGGGTGGGCTTCTGGCTGCACCAGCCTGCTGCCTCTTTCTGCAGAGCATTGAAACCAGTCAAGCAACTGATATGTCATGGGACATGGAGCCGTGGCAAAGCGGTTAGAGGTCTGGCCCTGACCCTGGCTCTGCCACTCGCTTTGGGGGGACCTTATGCACTTCCCTCTCCTCATCTTTCCTGGGAAGAAACTGAGGCTCAGAGACGAGCAGTGATTCATCCAAGTCACACAGCTGCTACGTGGCAGAGGAGAGGTTAGAACCCAGGGCTGTCTGGACTCAAAGCCCACTTTCCTCCCGCTCTGCCGCCTCTGCTCGGCCTCTGGGCCTGGACCGCCCTGGCAGGTAAAAAGGGAGCATCCCAGCTTAGGTGGGGCCACCTGGTGGCAGAGCCAGCTTTCAGATGCTGTCTGAGCCCTGCATGAGCAAAGGTGGTGGGTGGACCTCCAGGCAGAGCCGGGGCCCCAGCCCAGCCCAGCCCTCTGAACCCAAATCCAGATGCTAAGAAGGTCCCAGGGGGTTCCCATGCAGCAGCCTAGACACCCCATGAGTTACAGGTGTACCCTTTATTCCTCCCACCCACTGGCTCTCAGACACTGATGGTCTCTTGGCTCCTCAGTGGGGCGTGGGGGAGCTGTGAGGCCCCCTGAGTTACACTCGATGTTATTTACAGGCCAGCTCTCACCTGGTGGAGCTTGTTTATTGAGCACTGACTACATACAAGGCTCTGTGCTCAGGGCCTGGTGACTCACATCAAACTCTCCTGCCCTCGGAAGGAGGGGGCACCATTGCCCTGTTGCCTGATGAGGAAGTAGAGGCGCTACTGTGTCACCTCCTGGGGACACCTGGTGTTTGGAGCTACCTGGGCCGAGGTCGTGGTTCCCAAAGTGTGGTCTGGGCCAGCGACAGCAGCAGCACCCGATTGCAATTTCCTCCACGACAGAGGCAGCCTCCCTCTCCTGCCCCCTCCCGGGCAGGGCACCTGCAGTTCCTGAGGTCACGGGGCCCAGGCTGCTGCCAGGGCTGAGCTCACGGGATTCGCAGCCTTGCCGTCCTGGACAGACTACTTTGGGTCACGGTCTCTCTTTAAGAAGAAACTGACCTGCTTGGACCCTGAAGGCTCCCAGTTTCCGATCCACCGGCGACTGCAGTGGCTCCCCTCAATCGGCTCCTTCTCCCAGGCCGTGCGAGTGCCCTCGCCCTGGAAGGACTAGCTCCCGGGCCCCCTGCCCGGCTGGGCCAAGATACACAGCTCCCACCTTTCCACCGAGCCCGGGGCCAGCTGTCTCGGAGAGAACGGACCACTTTGTGAGTCCTGCCGGCCGCCCTGCCCGGGGTGGTCCTGGCATCCCCAGGAGCCTGGCCTCCAAAAAACCGACGCCGGGCTCTGGGGCCATGCACGCCAGGGAAGGCCACATGCCCCCTCTCTTGTCAGAGGTCCAAGTCGTTCTAGAAGCGTCCGATGGTGGTTTTCAAAAACCTTATTTTACTTCTGTTCTGAAATAAAATGATCTTATAGCCGAAGGAAAGGCATGTGGGTGGGGGACCGCCTGCGCACGGCGAGCTGATGAAGAGAGACACACCCTCTGCCTCGCGCTTTAAGAAACTGACGGCAACTTGGGGTTCGGACCTCAGCTTTCCAGGAAGAGTTTTCCCGACGTCACTTCAGTCAACCCCAAGTCTCCGGGTCCTGGAACGGGCCGGTTACCCCTTCTCCGCCATAAGACACTCGGTAGGTGCATGCCACTCTCTCCTGAATGGAATTTAGTAGCATCTGTGACACAGGTCACCCTTCACCGTCACCTTCCCGCCACAGTATCTCTTGACGCTGTGACTGCTTGGCTGTGGCCACCTCCAGCGTAGCAGCCACCGGCACCAGGATGGCCACACTGGCTCCTCCTGGCCTCCCTGCCTCCATGCTGCCCCCTGCAGGTCACTCCTCAAAACAGCCGGGGAGGGCTCTTCGAAGTAAGTCGGCTCCCGGTACTGGTCTGCAAGTTCCCTGGGGATTGAACAGCCTTTTGTGAACAGAAAGCGACGCTCAGTGAATTAGGACGAGAGGGGGCCTGGCTCGGCCCGGTCACAAGGACCCCCCTCCCCCCGGATAAAAAAGCCCGGAGAGCACGAGGCGTGAGGACGGAAGACTGCTCGCCTCCCCCAGAGAGCAGGGCCCAGACAGGACGGCCACTCTCGCCACGGCCACGCCACGTTGTCCTGCAGGTTACAGCCCCGGACTTAGGCGAGAAAAGGAAATAAGAGGCAAGCGGACTAGAAAGGAAGTAAAACTGTGTCTCCTCACAGATGCCCGACCCCCTGGGGCACGCAGCCCGAGAGTCCTGATTCACAGCAGGTACTGATTCCTGTGGCCGATTTGAAGACACTGGAACGGTGTCCCCGAGTGAGCGGCGGGGAAGACGTGTGCAGAGCCGGCCTAGGAATCACGTCAGGTTCCAGAGGAGACCCCCATCCTCTCACCATGGTTCTCCCTCCGAAAGCCCTGCTCTGACTTTCAGCAGCACGTGTCTGGCTCAGAGTAAACACTGAGTGAATATCCATCCAGGTGGGGACTGCAAACACTGCCTGACTCCCATGGCTCTAAGTGAAATCTGCCGTCCTCATTCCCACCTCCGAGGCCCCGTGTGGCGCGGACCCTGCCCACTTTCCAGCTTCTTCTTGTGGTTCCTCTCTCCCTGTACGCAGCCACCTGTCCTTCTTTGTCTTCCCCCAACGATCCAAGTTCTTCCCGCCCCAGGGCCTTTGCACATGCGCTTCCTCTCCCAGAATGCTGCCTTCACTCGGCTCGGTCTTGTCCCTTAGGTCTTCGTTGAATGCGGCGGGTCTCAAACGGGGAGAGATTTTGGTGGCCACAACTGGAGGGAAGCCACCAGCATCTAGGGAGTAGGGGCCAAGGATTCTTCTCAACATCCCGCGATGCCCGGGACAGCTCCCAGCCACGGAGAATTAGCAGCCCCGAATGTCAGGAGTGTAAGATGGAGACGCTCTGGCCGAATGTCAGGGCGCTCATCTTGCTAATGGAAGGTTTTCCCCGTTAGTCTTTCTCCTCGTGTCCCTCCAGCGCAATCTGGACCAGATCTACAGCAGCCAGCCCAGGGGATTTGAGGAGATACTCGGGTGCTCAGAACGCACTACATGGCCCCGCGTCTGTCAGGTTCGCAGAAGCAGGGACTGACACGGAAGAGGTGTGTGCACGGGATTTATGAAGGAAGCGCCCTGGGGGAGCCCGAGGCAATGAAGCGAGGCGGAGGGGGAGCAGGAAGAGCCCCAGCTTAGCCCAATCCTGTGGGGACTCAGGAGTGTAAATTACAGCTCGGCGATCGTCCACCTTCTTCCAGGCAGAGCAGCTGGGCTTCTGTACCCCTGTCCTGTCCCTCCAGTGCGGTGCCCGGACGTCTTCTGTCACCCACACCATCGGCCCTCCGGGCTGCAGGCCGGGCAGCTGGCGGCCTGGGAGCGGACCACCAAGGATAGTGCAGGTGCGGCCGCCAGGCCGGGGGCGCTCATGGAAGCGAGAGGATGTTCGCACAGACACATCTGCCGGGTCGGGATGGAGGACTGACCATGCGCATCTGCAGGAAACCTGGGCCATCCCATGTGACTTTGCTGGTCTGCAAAGTGACAGGTCCTGTGGGTGTGTCCCTCTCTCCCAGGGGCCGGCAGAAGGGGAGCAGCATCGGTGAGCAGCTCCTGGGAGCTGGGAGAGGGGCGTGACGTCAGTGGGCATTGTTGGTACCAAACCTTTGCCCGGAGCTTTTGCCACGCGTGCCCCTCCCGTCATAGAAGGAGACAGGCTTCGCTCCTACTCCTGATTTATGTTTCTACAGAGGTTGCTCATAAAATGAACATCCGTACGTCAAGTCCACTTGGCTCCATCAGCTCCCAGGGGCTTCTTCACTCCCGCGTGCAATCCTCTGCCTCTTTGAGCCGCTAGCCATCTCCAGGAGGTCTCTCATGCCACAGATGGACAGATGGACAGACGGACGAACGGATGAGGTTGGGGGTGGCTAAGAACTTCCAGAAGTTGTTTTCAAAATTCTATGTGGATCTGTGTTTTCAAAGTGAGATCTGTGGGTACCCAAGTGGCCCGAGACCCAAAACACACCGGAAGGTAGAAGGTAGATGTTCCCCTGGCTGCAGCATTGAATGTTCTATTTCACCGTGTTTATTGGTTTGCTCAGGTTGCCGTAACGCAATGCTGTAACGCAATGCCGCAACGCGCGAGACTTAGAAATTTACTCTCCCGGTTCCAGAGGCTGGAGTCCAAGATCAAGGTGTGGGCGGGTGGTTCCTTCTGAGGCTGAGGGAGGAGGTTGGCGCCTCGCCTGTCCCTGGCTCCCAGTGGCTTGCGGGCAATCTTTGGAGTTTCTGGCTGGAGGGTGTTTCACCCTGACCTCTGCCTGCACCTCCCCGGGGTGTTCGTGTCCCCCCCTCCCCCCATGTGCAGTTCTGTACCCAAAGACCCCCTTTTTATAAGGATGCCGGTCCTATTGGGCTAGGGGCCACCCTGTGCCAGTATGACCTCTGCAACGACCCTATTTCCAAAAGGTCAGGATTTCAAGAGAAGAATATTCGGGAAACTCAATTCCCTGCCCCTCACTCCTGCTCCCTGGGCTCACCTGCCTGACAGGAGCCCTTGCCTCAAGCTCTGGTTCAGACCTGGGCTACGATGCTCTGCAGGCGGTGGCGACAGGGAAACAGGGTGGCCTTCTCCCTGGTGCCATCAGCACGTCCCCTGTGGGCCCTGATGAAGCTCTTAGAAGGGAGAGAGAAGTGGGAGGTGAGAGCAGGAGGTGTAGGGACTGGGGCATCCGGGCCCAGGGACAAGCCACTAGGACAGCCCTGTTCCCCAGAAGCCCCGGATGTCACACACTGTTGTTTGTAAACTTGCTTCCCTAACACCCCATCTCCCCCAAATTAGAAAAGCACTCCCTGCTCCTGAGCAGCAGGAGTGCACAGTCCTGTGGCCACAGCTCGAAGCTTTGACACTTTGCCAGTTACTCAGAGGCTCTGCACCTCGGTTTTCTCATCTGTAAAATGGGGTCATCGCAGAGCTGGCCTCAGAGTGTGGGTGTGAGGTCCATGTGAGGTCAGTGCTGCAGGCGGCTTCCTGCCCTGCCTAGTTCCCAGTGAGTGGCAACTGAGAAAAACATAAGCCAGTAGTTTCCACGGAGGGGGCGTGGCCAGAAGGGGGAGTGACCGGAAGGGAGCATGTTGACATTTCCTGGGGCTGAGAATCTGCTGCTGGTGTCCTGGCTGTGACAGCTCAGGGCGCTGGGCGTGGCCAGAAGGGGGAGTGACCGGAAGGGAGCGCGTTGACATTTCCTGGGGCTGAGAACCTGCTGCTGGTGTCCTGGCTGTGACAGCTCAGGGCGCTGACCCGCACCCTCTCCTGCATGTGTTACACTTTATTTAAAAAACATGTTCTTACTGATTTTTACAGAGAGAAGAAGGGAGAAGGATAGAGAGAAACATCGATGAGAGAGGAACATCATCGATCGGCTGCCTCCCGCACACCCCCTACTCGGGATAGAGCCTGCAAGCCAGGCATGTGCCCTCACTGGAAATCGAACCAGTGACCTCTTGGCTCCTGGGTCAATGCTCAGCCACTGAGCCATGCTGGCTGAGCTGCGTGTTATACTTTAATGAGACATTTGAAGCCAGAAAGTACTAACATTGCCCGTTGCTGCCGGTGATGGCGTCATCGAACCCAGCCTGCGGAGGAGGTGGGAGAATTCTCCGCCTCAGTGAACAACCCTGTAAGCAGTAGCCCAGCCCTCCCACTTAGGGTTTGGGGTACCTCCCAGGTGGGCTGGTTCCTGGGTGCATGACTCCCCATCTCCAGACCTCAGTTTCCCCACGGGTCACATGGAAAGAAATCCCCCTTGCTCAATTGCAGCGTCTCGTCCTGGCTCCCCATTTTACTGATGCGGAAACTGAGGCCCCAAACAGTTCATTACAACTGAGGAGGTACTACTATTCTTAGAATGGCCCTAACTGCCCTGGCCGGTATGCTCAGTGGTTAGAACGTCGACCCACACACCGAAGGGTCACGGGTTCAGTTCCCAGTCAAGGGCATGTACGTGGGTTGCAGGTTGGATCCCTGGCCCCAGTTGGGGCACCAGCGGGAGGCAACCAATGTGTCTCACATCGCTGTTTCTCACTCTCTCTCTCCCCATCCCTCTCTCCCTCCCACTCTAAACATCAGTGGAAAAAATATCGTCTGGTTTTTTAAAGCAAAGAATGTCCCCAAGGGCACAGTGACAGCGGCTGGCCTGTATGCGCTCCGGGGACCAGGCACCCCCGTCCTCGCTCATTCCATCCTCCCTTCGAACTCCCATTGTGCAGAGGAGGAAACTGAGGCACCAGGGAGTCAGAGCCACAGAAGCTAGGCTCCTGCTCCTGGCTGGTTCCTGGGTGCATGACTCCCCATCTCCAGACCTCAGTTTCCCCACGGGTGACATGGAAAGAAATCCCCCTTGCTCAATTGCAGCGTCTCATCCTGGCTCCCCATTTTACTGATGGGGAAACTGAGGCCCCAAACAGTTCATTACAACTGAGGAGGTACTACTATTCTTAGAATGGCCCTAACTGCCCTGGCCGGTATTCTCAGTGGTTAGAACGTCGACCCACACACCGAACGGTCACGGGTTCAATTCCCAGTCAAGGGCATGTACCTGGGTTGCAGGTTGGATCCCTGACCCCAGTTGGGGCACCAGCGGGAGGCAACCAATGTGTCTCATATCGCTGTTTCTCACTCTCTCTCTCCCCATCCCTCTCTCCCTCTCACGCTCTCTAAAAATCAGTGGAAAAAATATCCTCTGGTTTTTTAAAGCAAAGAATGTCCCCAAGGGCACAGTGATAGCGGCTGGCCTGTATGCGCTCCGGGGACCAGGCACTCCC